TTACTTAAAGAAAGGTTATAAAGTTACAACGCAAGAAATCCAACCAGTACCTTATTTTCACACACACAATTTTATGGCAGGACAGCTCTTGCCAATATTCTACATTTTTTGGAAGGCAGGTTCTTGTCTGTATATCTTCACTTTTTTTTGGTAACTTCTAGTCTTTTTATCAGCATAATAAATAAATCTCACATCTTTTCATTGTTAACTAATGTGATTTTTATTGCTATATATTGTGCCATGTTTGCAGGTTTGACAGCTACTGTATATAAATAAATAGAAGCAATAAATTTACAATTATTTCCTCTCTTAAACAAAATTAGCACAATTGTATCTTAATATATAATAGCAATTACTAGCAAATTGATTTCTCAATTATGGGGCATTTAAGAGTTCCTGGGGATGAAATCCTTTCTCATCTAACATCAGCAATGAATTAACATTTTAAAAAGTACAGGCTGCTCAACTAATAAATCTTTGCACTTGCTAGCTTTGGGTCCATGGGGCTCTGGGATCTAGTCATCTTTGACTCTGGATGGGGCGGTACTGCCCCAGAAAGACCCAGTCCGCAACTTGGACTTGCAATTCCTGCTCAAGGAATAGGTGGCAGTCATGGCTAGGAGACCCTTTGCACAACTTTGTCCTGTGCTCCAGTTGAGGCCTTTCCTGGATCAGGATTTCCTGCGCTCAGTCGTTCAGTTCCTAGTCATCCTGTGGATGGACTACTGAAATGTGCTCTACATGGGGCTGCCCTTGAAGAGCATTCAGAAGCTCCAGTTGGTGTGGGCAGTTTTGGGGAGGGGGCAAGAATGGGCACTGTATCACTACTGCTTTGGGAACTGCATTGCTTACCAGTCTGCTTCCAGGTGCAACTCAAGGTGTTGGTGGTCACCTTGAAAGCCTTTCATGACATGGGTCCAGGTTACTTGAGGGACACATAAATTGAACTTATGGCTGATGTATTCTCTAAAAGCAGTTACAAACATTGAACCAGCAAACTGATTTGGATAACTTTTTTTCTAACTGGATATACAAATGAGTGCTGTTAAGGTGTTGGAAGACTTCATTTTTGGCTAGAAGATGAACAGAAACTTAAGTATGGGATTCTTTTTGGAGGAGTTAAAAATTAAGAGTCTTAAAAACTCAGGGATGAAACACAAGGTTGATTTATTTGATAGGGGCTAAAAGAAACAATTACATCTGGATTGCTTTTACTGGACTTTTTTTGCTGACAAAGAACAACTGACAAAGCATTGGGATTTTGTTTTTTTCTTAAATAAGCTATGGGATGAAGAGACTGTATTTACAGATGATAAGCCGTATTAAAATTGCCTTTACTTGCTGGGATCAAGGAGGAAATTGGCTGCTTTTTCCCCCTTTTCCCTTTTTCACACTTGTTTGTATTTTACTATCTGTATTTTTCTAGCTTGTGCTTGACTCTTTTCATTAGTAATTTTCAATAAAACCATCAGGGGGAAAACTCTTATCTTTGTTTCCACTCTCACTTGACAGATGTTAAGAACTGAATACACTTCACTGAAGTTGTAATGGATAAAGAACAAGCTATTCAGAGATCATATCCATTCCTATGCTGGGTAACAACAATAAGCAGAGCTCAAATAGGAAGAAAAAAACAACCTAGATTCAAATCCAAGGGTTATTGCGTCTTGGATTCATTTTCTGTCTCTTTAGCTACAATATAACTGCATTTCAGCATTCCGCAGCAGGTGGCAATATTTGGCTCAGTTTATCTGAATTTAGAATTTAGTTCTTGATGGGAGACACTCCAGGGAGTTCCATGTCTGAAAGCTAGTTTAGGAAGATAAAGGAAAAAAATCCCAGAAGGCCATGGCAAATCATTTCTATACTGCTGCCAAGAAAACAGCAGGGATGTGCCCACAAGGCTCCCAGAAGCCAAGCCTGACTCAAAGGAATCTTTTCATGCCATACCGTCAACGGTTGAAACTCACATCTGGAGACCTGAAAGCTTCAGTGAGAAGAAAAAGAAAAACATTGGGAGCGGTAGCATTAAAATTCCATGAACAACTTGGGCGGCTTTGGGAAGGTCAATATTTCCTGGCTTAACTTCACCACTTTAATGAGAATTCAATGCCTTCCTTCACATTTAAGGGTTACATTTGCAACAGGAGGATGTGCTTTCTTGTAATGGCAAGTAATGGATACCAATCTTTCACCAATTTCTCAAAAGGCTCGCGTAACTTTTATGTATTTAGAAGCCAGTCATTAGTTAAAATGACATCAAAGACAAATAGCATAGGCCCAGGTCCTTCCTAAGGGCTGTCCCATACCAAATACTTGCTAAGCATTTTGTTTTAGAGCAAAATCTCTCTTCTAGCCGGTTGACTGCTACGCTCAACATACAGTCTGCCTCGCCAATTTTATATAAGTCAGTTAGTGGTTTATCATCAGGTGTTGACACACTGAAATCCTGGCACACCCACATTAGTAGACCCTGACTAAGTTTAAGACAATAACTAGAACAAATGGAAACAACGGAGTTTTGGAAACCACGGCAAAATAAATAAATAAATCCCCAATATGATCAGGAATGGAATCTCTCTGTATCTTCCTCTCCACTTGCAGCTTGCTTTTCTATTCAACAAAATATAATCAGAGCAAAAGCAGTCTGAAGATGATACTCAATGGAAGTGGTTACTGGAGTGGAGGGAGGAAAGAATAAATGAATTGTAGGGACAAGGAAATACCAGGCAAAACAAACCAGTAGAAAAGCTGATTAAAAAAAAAAAACTTAAGCAGATCTAATCCAAATTAAAATATCTTTACATACACTTACAATTTAGTTTTAGGATTGGTATATAGACTTTAGATCTTGCAAGAAGGGGAACAGTATTACATTGTTGCAACATTTGGATAAGGTTTTACACCATATCATTCCTCAAGGCTTCCCTATAATGTGTTGGATTTTAACTTCCACACAGGTAGTCCTTGATTTACAACTGTTTGCATAGTGACTGTTCAAAGTTACAAGGGCACTGGAAAAAAGTGACTTATGATCATTTCTCACGCTTGTGATTGTTGCAACACCCCCATGGTCACGTGATTTACATTCAGATGCTAGGCAACTAACTCACATTTATGACGGTTACAGCATTCCGAGGTCATGTGATCCCCCTTTTGTGACCTTCTGACAAGCAACATCAATGGGGAAACCAGATTCACTTAACAACCGTGTTACTAATTTATTAACTGCAGTAATTCATTTAACAAATGTGGCAAGAAAAATTGTAAAATGGGGCAGGACTCACTGACCAAATTTCTCACTTAGCAACAAAAGTTTTGGGCTTCATTGTAGTCGTATGTTTGAAGACCTAATTCCCAGCCAGCAGCCCAGACAGAATGGAGATTGTGGGAGCAGAAATTCAGGGCAGTCATCAGATATTAAGGGAGGGAGGGCTTTTTTTGTCCCTCATAGGTAGGAAAATATGTTTTGACTGACAGCAACAAGTCAATCACTCTTCCTCCAAGAGAATATATATCCCTGGAAAAGACAGAAAGCTTCTGTTGTGGTGTAAAGGGGGAGGTGCAGATGGTGTCTAGGAACTGATCTGATTTTCTCCCTGCCTGCTGCTTATGTGGCCTAATTCTCTGAAGCACCTGGTGCGTTCCCCCCCCCCCCCAAACTGCAGCAAAATCTTCCCAAACAAAAGCCGCATGAAAAGGCAACTTGCTCCCTCATAGGCTCCCTTCTACTTTCCTTCCAGGCTCTATCGCATGCCCAAGGATGTGGGGGGAGTGACTGCAGCCTCGCGGACCAACACCATCACACCATCCAGAGTGGAAACAGCAACAAAGAAGCAACCCAGCCTTTCTTTCTCTTCTCCGTGCCATCTTGATCTAGATTACCCGTGCCTTATTTCCGCACGCAGCACCAACAGATCCATGCAGGCTCACCTCGGGATCGGGAGAAAATAAAATAAAATAAAAGGCCACGACCCTCCGCTGACAACACCACCAAAAAAAATAAAAACAAAAAACAACAACAAAAAACCACCCACCTCATCTTGCCCTCCTCCTTTCCCCACCCCCCCATTGACATTGGGAAAGAAATCCCAGAAACCCGGAACGAAATACAGCAACTGGCCAAGGTGGGTTTTTAAGGGCGGGAGGAAGCGAGGAAGGAGAAACTGCGTCCGATCCAGCGGGCGAAAGGGTGGGGGGGAGGGGAGGGGAAGCGAGTCCCACCAAAACGGGAGCAACGCAGCGGGGAGAACGAGGTAGCCGTCGATCCTGCCTGCCGCAGGGCTCCGCAAAGGGACTGAAAGCAGACGCGTAGAGGGCGAGAGGCACTGCCAGCTCCGCGTCCCCGGCTCGCCACCACCACCACCACTGCATATTGCGAGTGCCTGCGCCAGATCGGCCGGAATCCCGAGCAGCAAAGCCGCCGCCGCCGCCGCCGCTTCCATTGTTCTAGGCTTGGGCAAGGCAGAGGAGGGAGGGAACTGGCAAGCCCAGGCGCAGATCTCTCCCGTGTAAACAGATTCCGAGTTGGGGAAAAGGGAGTCCTCGAGAAAGCACGGGAAAGCCATTTCTTTCCCCCCGCCCACAAGGATTCCTCGGGGGCGACTCAGCTTCCCTTGTGGAAACAGGATTTTGGAGTTGTTATCGCTGCGGGCGGGCGGGTGGATGGGGGTGAGGACAGGGGAAGGGAAGCGCTGTTGCAATGGAACTCGGAGTAACAACCAGGTGGCTTACCTGGCGTCCAAGATAGAGTCCCCCCGCTTCGCCCCGCAGGCTCCTCTGCCCTCCGCTCCTCCAGCGCACTCAGCTCTCCTTAGCGACGTTCCCCTCTTTCCTAAATGAAAACGCCTTTCGCCTCCTTGGATTGGCTCGCGCCTCCCTGCTCCAGCTTCCAGGCTAAAAGAATAAGGAGGGAGGGAGGGAGAGCGAGAGCGAGAGCGAAGGAGGCGTGGCCTTTTGCCCGGTGCCGGCGAAAGAGTCTCGCCTTCTACTACGCATGTGCGGCCTTTCCTCCCCTTCTCCTGGAAAGGCTGTTTTGCGCCTGCGTGCTCGGGAGAACCTCTGGCCCGGAGACCGAGTGAGTGATGGGGGTTGGGAAAGGAAGGGGGGGTCGTTTCGGGTGGGGAGCGGCTCCCTCTTTTCCACGCGGCTTCGAGCTGGAGGGCCGGCATAGTTTAAGATGAGGACGGGGGCTTCGTGCTAGTGATGGGGGGAAAAAGAAGTTAGGCCGTGCAGCGCGGTCGTATATAATATACATACATGTGGAGGAAAACTCTCCTTTTGGAAAACTTGGAGAGAAGTTAGTGTTAGAAATGGAAGGCAGGTAAGAAAAGAGTCTAGGAGATGTTTTGCTCATGGAGATTAAAAAGCCTACAGTGGAGGCTAAAATATTCTGTCAGGAGAAAACAGGAGAGATTAGAAATATGTACAGTTTGGAAAACAGAAGGGGAAGGGAGGATACAAAACCTTTAAATATATTAAATATATTCACTTATCTGAAATAGTATGGGTTGTCCTGATTGAGCAGGAGCCTAGACTAGAAGACCTCCTAGGCAGGGGTGGGATTTTACCGGTTCTGTCCACTTCTGTAGAACCGGTTGCTCTGAAGAGCAGCAAACAGAGAGCGTACATAGAACCGGTTCTATGTTTGCTGCTGTTTTGACCCACCTGCCCGCCTGGGCTCTTACCTGACCTTTATTTCCTGCTTTTTCAACTGCAGCTGCTTTGTGCAACACAGCTGCGGTTGGAAAAGCGGCAAAAAGTGCTTTTTCAACCGCTGCGCACCCACGCGCAGTGCTGCTCAGCTGTCCAGGCAGCTAGTTGATGACGATATACACGCGCGCGCAAAACGTAAAATCTCAGAACCGGTAGTTACACCGGTCAGATCCGACCTCTGCCTCCAAGGTCCCTTCCAGCTTATTCTACTCTACTCTGATTGAGCAGTGGGTTGGACTAGAAGACCTCCAAAGTCCCTTCCAGCTCTATTCTGATTGATATTAAGGATGTGAATAAGATTCTAGAAGGCAATATGTTCAATATTAAGCAAAAATCAAGAACATGAGGGGTATAATCTCAAACTGACAGGAGGGATGCACAAAAGTAGTGCTCAAAAGTATTGACAGAAAGAGTAGTGGAAGCTTGGAACTAACTTCCAGCTGAGCTAGTGGGTCAGTAAGTGACATGAAACAGCTTGGGATAAGCTCACATCGATCTCTGACAAACATTATTAATAAAAGAAACACTTGGGAAAGGTAATTGGTTAAAAATGCCAAAACCAGTCTGAACATTTGGCTCACTGTGATAAACCATCATAATGAAAAATAAAAGAAAGAGATCAATACTTAAAAAATAATAAATTAAAAAGAAAAAAAAACTCAAGATTCCATGCTTCTATGTAACTCTTAGAGTTGCTCACTTGATGTCTCCTCTAAGAAAATGGGTAACAAAGTCAAACTAGTATTATACATTCTCAGACTATTCTTTGGTGATGTTGAAATAAGGAAACAAAATCAGTACAGCTAGGAACAAGTAAAGATTGCTTTGTTCATGAGATGGGTTGATATAAGGGCAATGTAAGGTGGCCAAGGAGGAAATGGAGGTTGTGGAGAAATGCAGGCGGGCAGGGCCTTTAAGTGACATGCTTAAGGGAGTTAGGACTCTAGCCAATGTGCTGATAGAATAGGTAAGCATTGATTGACTCAGTGACAGAAGCCTTGTGAGCTACATGACGGTGGACATTTTGTTCCCAAATCTCCCCTCACCTCTGCAGAATCCTTCAAACATTGCTGAGATCCAGAGGTATTGTTGTTATGTCAATTCTAAGTTAAAAATAATATTTGGTCCTGGGCTGCCTGGATATAAAGCTGAGATTGCGGCTTGGCAGAAGCCCTCTGTGCTTCTAGAGGAGAGATTAAAATGAGCCAGAGCCTTGAAAAGTTGTCTGAAAGATAATTTCTCACTCTGCAATTTGAGGAAGCAATTGGGTTGCATGTTGTTGTTGTTGTTGCGGAACAAATTGATAGCTTGGATTAATTTTCGGTTAATGTTTCCTAAGGGTTATCCAAGGGAACTGCAAGCCGAGGCCCCTTCCTTTGACCTGGAAACAATCTCTTGCCACATTACTGTGCTCTCTGCTGTGCATGTGAATGCCGGTTCAGCATTTGCGGGGTACAATCCTAGATTTATCAATACAAAATGCATGTTTCTGTCTGAAGCTTCCATTGTTTGTGTGATAGTTGAGGCAGTTGTGATTTTTATGTCATCATATGCCACAGGACTTGTATAGCACATCAGATCAGAAGGGAGAAGAGGGCATTATGTAGTACTTACATAGCTGCCACTGGGTAAGATGGGGAAGGGGCTGCTCTGGCCGCCACCACCTCACTCTGCCAGCATCGGTCTCTGCAGGCCAGGTGGTCAAGGATACTGTTGGGACTTTATCCTCCCACCCCCATCACTGCCTCACTTAGTGGTACTGGTGCATTGCTCAGCTTCCTGCTTCGATGTGGCAGTGAGCAAGGAGAAGAAGCTTCGTTCTCTACCACCACACCACCTTGCTTCATCCTGCATCCCACACTGCCACGCTTAGTGGCTGCGGCACTGGTGCATCGCTCAGCCTCCTGCTCTGTTGCAGCAGCGAGTAAGCTGGCGATCTTCATGGGTTGTTGGAGCTGCCACCGCTGCGATGAGGCCAGGCAATTGATGGCCTGGTTGCAGGGCCCTCTGATAAGCTGGTGCCGGGTATGCATAGTAGCTTCGCACCCCTTGCCTCACTTCATCCTCCACCCCCCCTCACCGCCTCGCTTAGTGGCCACGGCACCAAGTGCGTCACTTTGTCCTTTACCCCTCCCATGCCTCCTGCTCCATTGCAGCCATGAAAAAAATAAGACCTCCCTGAAAATAAGCCCTGATGCTTATTTTGGCAACCACAAAAATATAAGACTGGATCTTATTTTCGGGGAAACATGGGTAGTATTCTGGAGAAGGATTTAGAAGAGTGAAAATCAACTTTTCTTTCCTAGGTTTTGCTGGAAAAAGATTCTCAGTGGAGAACACAACCTGATTTATTAATTAGGGCTGTTTCAAAAGCATTTGTTTAAATTCGGTCAATAAGCTTTTTGGTTAGTTAAAAATGTTCCCCTAAATAAGCAGGTAGCAGATTAGAACTATGAAAGCACTTAGTGAATCTAGATGGGACTGGTGCCTTCTTAGAAGAGATTGTCTACGGTGTCCTTGGAGACAATATGCTCTAATATATGTGCACAACTTTAATAAGCAAATGTGGACTATTCAGGAAGATTTAATAACAAGTGCGTATGTTATTTCTTCAATAAGCGGTCATTTTCTTTGGAAACATGACCTGAGGTTATACAGATAATCCTAGACTTACAATTCATTTAGTGACTTTGGAAGTTACAACGTCACTAAAAAAGTGACATGGCCATTTTTTCACACTTATGACTGATGCTACATCGCCATGGTCATGTGATCAAAATTCAGACCCTTGGCAACTGACTCATATTTATGATGGTTGCAGGCTCCCGGGATCATGTGATGAGTTTTTGTGACCTGACAAGTAGTCAGTTGGGAAGCCAGATTCACTTTAACAAGTTAATAACTGCAAGTGATTCACAACAACTATGGCAAGCAATGTCTTAATGAATGTCTCATTTAGCAACAGAAATTTTGAGCTCAGTTGTGGTCCTAAGTTGAGAACTGTCCATATTCACACTTGCACCAAATCTCATGTCAAGGAATCCTCTTTGGATGGTGGACCTTGTACTTTATCATTGGTCTGTGTGTGTCCAGATACACACTCTTATACAAATATATTTGTATGATTTGAATTGTGTATAAATAATAGTTTCTTCTCTTTTCCCTCACATAATGAAAACAGTAGAAGAGAAGATAAAAACAAAAAAAACCCTAAGTCTTATCTCGCCACACACTTTATATGTTAGAAAATTAAATTCAAAGTTACTGCCATCTCAACATCCTCATCTCTGAAGTGGCCTAGATATTAACCTGTCTTGATACAACTTTGTAACTCTTTTCTCCCAATACTTTCAAACAGATTTTTTTTTTGGTGGCATTTATCACTGTTAACAATACATCTGATATTAATTAGATCTTCAGTCTTTTAATTCAATCAGTGAATTAAAGTTGGTTCTGTTTCCATTTACAATATATTTAAGAGGGCATATGGGTAGGCTGTTAGAAACTTAATGGAGAGGCAATTGGGTTTTAAGATACATTATTTTCAGTTTAATTACACATTACTTGGATATATAAAAATAACATTGCTTTGCTATAATAATATTACTTTAATGCACAATATTATTTGCTGATCAATTTTCAAAGCTAAATTCTTGTGCACTCTTATATTCTCAAAAAAGCATGCACAAGACTTTAGCAGTTAAAAACAGTTGTTACATTGGCCAGAACACAACATGTGCATTTTTCAAAACATCTAAGCTACATCCTTTGCATTGTGGAATGTTATGAGAAACAGGAAGGATCTGTCTTTCCCAATATCTTTAGTATATTAAAAATGGTTTGTTCTATGATTCTCAAGAAACAACCGGAAGCACACAAAGAACAAACTGAAGCAGTGTATCTAATATTTGTGATGAGATCTGCCACATGTCCACTTAATATACTTAAGTTTAAGGTCCAACAGTTATTAAAACTTATATTTAAAAAACTGATATGGGGGGCAATCACGTTTCTTTGCCCATGAAATCCTAAGGAAGATTTGAAAGTTAAAGAACATTTTTTGAAATTGGTCTAATTAGCTCCAATAATCCAGGAAATTTGATATACTTCTTCCATTCAGACTTCATGGCCATTTTTTGACTCCCTTCCTTCCTTGTGCTTACATTCAACTTGAATTTTTGGCAGCTTAATTAGGACAAGCTCTAATTATTACCTCCCTAATATATAGGGATGCTGATGAGTTGGATTTGTTTTTTTATTATTATTATTATTTTAGGGAAATTTAAATGGGAAAGGCTATTTTTGAAACTTGTAATGTATAAAACTTCCAAAATGAGCCACTCTGCCTCTAAATTTCATCCAAAACTGCTAAGAAATTAAAACAACAAAATGACAATTTATAATTTTTTAAAGGAAGCAAAATGTAAAGGTAGCTAGCGTGAAGCCTCCTGATCAGTGGTGGTATTCTACCGGTTCGGCCCAGTTCTGGCGTACCGGTAGCACTGAAGATCAGCTGGCAGAAAATCTGTTCGCTCTGAGTCTCTCCGACGCTCTGCAGTTGGGCCCACCTGCCCGCCCCTGCTCTTAGGTCCTTTTTAACCTCTCAGCTGTGTGGTGTGGCAGAGTAGATTGCTGTGCTAAACAGCTGAGAGGTGTAGTAGCTTAGTTTTTACTGTTTTAACACGTGCGCAAAGCATGTGTTTGACGCGCACATCCCTGCAGCCACGCCCTCAGAATCGTTGGTGGGAACTTTTGAATCCCACCATAGTTCCTGATACGGTGTATCTGAAACAAATTCAGTAGTGATTGCACTGCAGTAACAGCTGTGGTGGAACAGTGCAGTATTGCAGGCTAACTCGCTGCCCCACTCCAGGAATTCGATCCTGACAGACTCAAGATTGACTCAGCCTTCCATCCTTCCGAGGTCGGCAAAATGAGGATCCAGATTGTTGGGGGCAATAGGCTAACTCTAAACTGTTGAGAGAAGGCTGTAAAGCACTGTGAAGCGATATATAAATCTAAGTGTTATTGCTATTTCAATAGACATAGATTTGGAACTGGGAACCAAGATTTTGATGGGGGTTGGGGTGAACACTGAGATTATATTTTAAATGTCCACACTAGCTCCTTTCCAGAACTTAATGTCAGTGCTTACATAGGAAATTGCTCAACGTAGATGGATTTTGTATATTAAATTTCTCTTGCATTGTGAGAGAAATAATATGAAAAGAGTCAGATCTTCCTCCAAACAGCTTGGACTGGAAATAGTTTATCCAACAAACAATACAATCCAAAATCTCTGATTAAACAGTCTTTTATGGGGAAGGTCACGATGACAACATAATCATTCCCATGAGTATTCCACCTTCAAATGAAACACCTCTATGTAGGCAATTATGGTAGCAACATCATTTATTGTCTTCCACTCTTTCTTTGTAGAGGATTGAACAGGTGAGCCCAGTTCCATCTGTTCATTGTTTAGGTAACTATTAGTCATCCTATCTATCAGAAAGAATTCTCCTGAAGACAACAGTGTGGGATAGAGAGGATCTATGAAATATTCTGGGTTAAGGTGTTCTTTAGGTGACTTGACACATGGTGTTGCAGTGCTTGTTAAACGTTTTCCTTCAGTATCCAAAACTCCTTTTCATAAAGTCCTTATTCAAATGTCCCCATTAATATTGGGACATTCTGGGACATTATTTGTGTGTCATAACTCTCCCCAAACCCCCACTTGTACCCAAGTTCGGGTAATTCACTCAAGTTTGGGAAGCAGTGTCATATATCAGTCCACATTCTCATGGGCTTTTGACAATCCTGGTGCAAGGTTTCAGAAGCTCCTCCAGTTGAGAAAATCAAGGTGCTTCAAATTTTTGTTAGATGTTTGAGAGGAAGCATGAAATATTCTGGTGCCAGAGCAGTTAAAAAGGTAAGGTAATTTGCATGTTATTTTTTATGTCAAGATAAGCTTATTTTCAGAAAGATCTCAGCAGGAGAGTAAACTAATACAAATTAGTCTTTCTGTCAATGTGTTTATGCTGTACTTAATAGAATAATATTGTGACACTGGCTTCTGTCACCCCAGAACCAAAGGATTTCCAGTGTTTTTGTTATTTTCAATTACCTGGACATAATTGGGGGGAAAGGTTTTTCTTGAGCAACTGACTTACAAAGATAATATGAATGTGGAAGTGAGGAGACCTTGCAGAAAGGATTAACAGATGGAGCAGGTTTTGTCTATATTTGTTGATTTGTTGTCTTTGCTAATCATGTGATTTTGCTCCCAAACTGGCCAACAATCTAGCTGTGACAGTCCTGTTTTAAATGATTTATGGGTTTTGCAGGTAAGGAAAGGATTGATCCCTCCATCTTCCCTGTCTTATTTTCCCAAATTTGCCTTAAAAGATGAACATACATTTGAAAGTCCTTAGTAGTTTTCCAAATATCTATATGCATACTTAAATAAATTAGTTCTTTCCATTCTTTATGCAGTTTAGTTTGAATTCAAAGTGGATTTGTTCTCAAATAATTCCTAGCAGTTAAGGAGAATGAGATAAAACAAAAATTCTTGATTCAGAGTGTTCAGATGATTTCCTTTTATGCTGATGTAAATGGTTGATTATAAGAGGTTAAGGAACTGCAATTACGGCTTAATGTTACAAAATAATTGTGTGTTTGATGTTTCTAGTCATGAAGAACTACGCCACCAGTAATGAGAATAATCTTGTGTCAAAACTCACTTTTCAACATATCAGTTTTATACTCAGAATACAAATTTGTTCTTGGCGTAGCAGTTATTTTTGATCAGTGGGTTTGATTAAAGAAATGAAATGTCAAGGCCTGCCTGAAAAAATGGTTTATTATGAGATAAATAACAAAGAATTGCAGATATCCCTTTTCTTGCCTATCTTATGTTCTTTCTGTAATCTTTAGAAGAGACTCTGTGTAACAGCCAGTCATAAATTACCAGTTTGAAAAAAACTTTACATTTGGAGAAGTACAGAAGAAATTACAATCAAGGAGTATGTCCCCTTCCAAATGTCCTTGATCCATTTCCTCAACATGCTAAACCTTAAAACCAGGTTAACCCATCAGAATCACTATGCCCGCACAATATGCTATGCCTCAATAGGTAAACCATATTATAATTTAATGTTGCATGTCATGCTTAGATGGCGGGTGATTTCCTGCAACATTTCATCTTAGTTAGCAGCATGTGGTGCAAATCACATGTTAAGGAATGAAAAAACAAAAGAACTATTTATATTTTAAAAAGGAAGCACTAACTCCTAATTGTGTGCAGGGATACTTTTTGTTTATATCATTTCATTGAAAGTGGTTCTTAAAGTATTCAGGGTCTTTTTTTAAACATGACATAGGACAAAAAATCTAAAATGAATCAGGATTAAATTTTAATTCTAATTTCTGAGATTATGTTAAATTCCAGATAATGGATCTTTGCTAAGTATTTTAAAGTTATTTTACAACAATTTAAAGCATTTTAACCATCTCTTAAAAACAATTACATATTTTTTGAAATTGTTCGATTTTAAAATAAAGACATAAAAACTAACAAGAACCAGTAAGATAAAAATAAGATAAAAATTAAGATGAAAATAGACAAAAAGAAAAAGTAAAGACTGAAAAAAAGCCAAAGTTGAAAGTGCAGAAAAGTACAGGTAGTCCTCAACTTACAACAGTTAATTTAGTGACCATTCAAAGTTACAACAGCACTGGAAAAAATGACTTACAACCATTTCTCACACTTATGACTTTCCCATGGTCTCATGATCAAAAATCAGATGCTGGGCAGCTGGTTCATATTTATGACTCGATGTGTTCCAAGGTCATGCGATCCCCTTTTGCAGCCTTCTGACAAGCAAAATCAATGGTGAAGCCAGATTCACTTTACAACCATTTTACTAATTTAACAAATGCAATGATTCGCTTAAAAATTGTGGCACGGAAAGTCGTAAAATGGGACAAACTCACTTAACAAATCTTTCACTTAACACAAATTTTGGGCTCAATTGTGGTCATAACTCAGGGACTACCTGTGCTATTATTTCTATGATAGGACTCGGGTAGAGAGGTGTTTCCCACCACACAGAATTTGAGATATCTGAAATGCTTTAGAAACTTCCTGCCAGTTAGAAGAATTAAATCATTGGAACAATTTGCCCCCAGAAGTTGTGGATGCTCCAACACTAGAAGTTTTTAAGAAAAGAGACTGGACAACCATTAGTCTGAAATGGTATATGGTTTCTTGCATGAGCATGGTGTTGGACTAGAACAGTGGGGGTTAACCTTTTCGACACAGAGTTCTGAAATGGGAGCGTGCGTGCTGAAAAGGCACCGAGTCCCAAAACACGCATGTGTGCCAGAAACTAGAAAAGCAGCTCCCGGTGCACGCATGCATGCTGGCCACCTGGTCTTCCTGTTTCTAATGCGCATGCACACATAAAGACCAGCTGCTTGGTGCATGCATGCGCACAGGGGAGCTGCTCCTCTGGTTTCCGGTGCTCCTGCGTGCGCGAAGACCAGCTGACAGAATCCGGAAGAGCAACAGGTGACAGCGTGCATAGGTTCACCATCACGGGACTAGAAGACCCCCCAAGGTACCTTCCAACTCTGTTATTGTTATTCTAATCATATCCATATATTATAATTTCATATTTTTTTGTTTTAGGCAGAAAGTCCAGAAAGGGCTTCCAATTCTCTGATTAAAGCAGCTGGTTTTGCCATCAGCCAACTCCAACAACTTTCACCGTCCATTCTTCCATTGCAGGTAATGTCAAATCTTTCCATCTTTGTGCATTAAAACATTTTTCTGAAGAAACAAGGTACAGTACCATGAGTTTTTCCCCCCAAAGTTTTTCAGTCCCCAAAGAAGTATCTCTGATTTCTATTTTATATTGGTCTTTAAAATCTTCTGCATTGATGAATCCATTTTAAAGCTTTTTTACAGTTCCACCAAGTATGATAAAAATGTCCCCTCTTGTTGTTCACATTTCCAACTTTCATTTAAAGTACCTTTACACATTTTAGACAATTTTTCCAGTGACAAATATCACTGGTATATTTTTCATAAAAAATATCTTCACAATTATGATATGTGTATTACAGCCCTTTTATCAATATATTCTCCCATTGTTCCATCTTTATATTACATTCAGAGTTTTTACCCCTTTAATCCCTTTTATCATAAGGGATGGGAAAAAAGAAGAAAAACTGATTTAATTGTTATTAGGAAAATAAACACTCAGAAGCAAAACATATGGTATGTGTATATAAACACAGAGATGCAAAAGGGGAAGCAAAACAGAAGAAAAATTATTCTAATATAGACATAATTTCACTGTAATAATTCAGTGTTTTTAAAAACAAATTATACATGATCTATACAGAGAGCTATTTTTACTCAGTCTTGCATCTTTACTATACAAGGCTTGTCTGGTCTACTTTGTATCATTTTGTCATGAAGCTTTTATTCCAGAATTCTAGCTGGAAAAGACTTAATAACTGAACAGAAAAAAAGTAAAGATACCCCCCCCCCCCCGTATTATTGGAATGTAGATAGTAATTTCCCCCTGTGTATTATTAGAAGGCAGATTGTCCATTTATTTGATTTACATCATTTTTAAGGTAAATGTTTCACCAGTGTGGAATTGTGAGATTAAAACCTGCAATCAATCAAATCAATAAATAAATAAGCAAGCAAGCAAACAAGCAAATAAATGCTTATGATCTTGATTGCTAAGAACACTTTCCTTCCAAATGGGTTATTTAGAGCCAGAAGATCTTGCTCTATGCATCTGAAAGATGTTTGCAGTTCTGTGGTTTCTTTGGAATCTACCACACACTCAAAAATTTACACGCACATATGTATACATACATAAATTTAGTCTTTAATGAAATCAGTATTTTTGGAGTGGCTTAAAAACTGGACAGAGAATCTTGGGGGACTTCCGGTTTGTCGGCTTCGCGAGCGGCAGGGATTCGCGAAGCTGCGCGATCCCTGCTGCGCTAGCCGCTTTTGGTGCTCCGATCCGGACGGGTCCGGAGCTAGGCTGCCCTGCAGGGGCAGCTGAAGATAGGGGGGATCCGGAGAGGGGCTTGGGGGTGTTGCAGACCCCCTCCCCGGCCGGCAGAACCCCCTTTTCCCAAGACGGTGCAGCGGCGGTCCGCAATGGCCGCCACAAAGAAGCTGGCAGCCGGGTAAGAATGCGCAGGAGGAAGTGGAGAAAGTTTTTGAAAAGAGAAAGTTTTTCTTGGTTCCCAGGACTCTAAGACATATTTAACAAAATTCCTGAAAATTATGACTTTCTGAATGATACCTTCTAGAAGAGAAAAAAAGCGGCAGTTTGGTGGTGCTGAAAGGAAAGTTTACTCTCCTTCCCTACGGAATTAATAAGCTGATATTAAGAAACCTATTTTTTTTAGGTAAAAACTGGATTTAAGTGATGAGTGGGAAGGGAGAGGACTAAAAAAAAAATATTCGCATGCTAAGACTTTGTTGGAGGAGATGCCTTAAGGATTTGAAGGCTGAAATATATTGCAATAAGACTTTAAGAAACAGATTTGAACTTTCTTTTTTTCTGATTGATACTACCCCAGGAGGAGAAAGTGAGAACTCTGCCTTGGTTTGGACTGATTGATAACTTTGGGACTGTTTTATTTTTTTTGGAATATTCTGGTTGTTGTAAGAAGAAAGAAGGGGAAAAGAAAAGAAAAGATTTATAATGGCTTTTTCTGTTGAGGAACTGAGAAAAGAATATGAGCAAGCAAAAAAAATGGTAAAGATGGTTTGAAAGAAGCCTTCCTTTTTTTAGAAATGGCGCTTATTAACTATCAACAAACATTACAACAGATAAAGACAGCAGAAGAAGAAGAAGGAGAGGAAGCCATTTTTAATGAATCTCAGAATTCGACGAAGAAAGAAGGAAGAGGGAAAGGAAGAGAAATAAAGGACTTAAGATTTAAAAAAACACTTAAGAAAGGGAAAAATAAGGTGCAAAATCAATATAATGATAGAAAACAAAAGGGAAAAGGAACATGACAGAGAAGGGAAGCCAGTAAGGCAGAGGCTAGAAGAAGGGGGGGTAGAAAGGTTTGTTGGGAGAAGAAAGGAAGGGAAAAGGTGGAGAAAAGCTACAAAGTTTTGAAACTAGATGGGAAAAAAGGAATCTTTTTTAGGGATAAAGGGTAAAGTATAATTTCTTCAAAAAAGATTTTGCAAGGTACATAAGATGATATTGTAGCATTGTATTAGAAATAGAAAACTTAAATGGTTTAAGAGTTGATAAGAGATTAAAATGTTGAAATGTTTAATAATGATTGGTTTTAAAATTTAATAATATGAGGGTAGGCTTAGAATATTGAGTTTTAATTAAAGAGTTTAATAAGATTATGGTATTGATGTTATTATAAAATTTTTATTATAGTATTTGTTTTTTGGAAAAGGCAATGGGAATGTTATAAGATGCAATATTTAGATCTATTGTTTAACTATGTATTTAATTATTTTGGATGTACTATTTAGATAGAACGTACCAAGCAGAATCGGATTGGGTATTGGGTGTTATTTTAAATGTTAATTTGATTAATTTAGTGGGGAGATAGAAAGGCATCATACTCTGATTAGTGATTTCAGGAGAAACTCTTTTTTTTTTTTTATAAGGAACGAGACAAAGGGACAATAAAGAATGGACAAAAGATACAAATATAATGACTCAAATTAAGATGATTAATTAAGATAGAATTAAGAAGAGTGAAATGTGTGGAGAAGTTAATATAGAAGATTCAGAATGGTAAATAAAATAAGTAATGACATGTAAGATGAGCATGAATATGACTGAAGTCCATGAAGAGAGAGATACCTGGGGCTAAGTTACTTTCCAAAAAGATTTTTTTTTATGTTTTGTGTGTTGTGTGTATATGTTTTTTTTTTGGGAGAATTAATAAAACCTTGCAGAAATATAGAATGAGAATAATGGTAACTAAGTCAGAAAGAAATAGATGAGATAATAATAATGAAATTGAATAAGAGTAAAGAGAAGTAAAGAGAAATTGGATAAGAGGTTTTTGTATATTTATATGGAAATGGTTTAAAACAGAATTATAGTGTATAAAATAAGGTTTTATCTGACTTGTTAAATTTATAATGGAAAAAGGTTTAAGCATGTAATGGTTAATGATGATTTGTGTGTTTTTGAAAAATCAATAAAACTTGTTTTTTTTAAAAAAAAAAACTGGACAGAGAATCTTTCTGTTAGGTATTGTACATTGTATTGGGAAGCTAGGAAAAGAATAAAGGTTCTATAAAGAATAAAAAATAAGCCTGGGATAAAAAATAAATAGTTTGGTAGTAATGCGTATATAGCTTAGTTATTAAATTGGTCAAAATAAACTTAGTACGGCATGTTCACAGGACTTACATTAAAGGAGCTAATCAGAATGAGGGTAGTTGTGATTTTTATTCAAAAGTTTTTTTAATCTATTTATACTCCTGTAAAATAGATTTGTATTCCAGAAGTATCATTGGGTGATTTTTATTTGGGGATTTTTTTTTAAATTAAGCTTCTTCCAAATTGCTGATTAGAAATTCCATATCACTACTCCATTGCAAATAAAGAAATTAAACGTACCCTTAATTTTGATACCAAATAAGCTTTTAAAATTCTGCAGCTCAAACTTCTTTAAAAATGCTCACGTGCTAGCCTCTCTCTGAAAAAGTAGTAAATAACAAAGGGATGGATATCTGTGTCAGCTTTTTGAATTTTTAAAAATCTTGTTTCTTTTTTAAAGCTTTAAAACCAGCAGTTCAGGACCCACTGGAGACCATTAGGATAGAAAATGCTGTGCTAAATGACTATGCTCTGTACTCATGTCCTCCACAATTAGCAGCTAACAACCAGCAATTGTAAAAGCAGAAGGTTATTTTGACAATGAGGATCTGTGCCCTTGAAGAAAGCAGCCCTGGTGTGTGTTTTTTGTTCCCCAAGTACAGTACCATTGTGTTATGAATAACTGCCTCGCATTAATTCTGTTGTATTTATTTCTTTTGGAGGAACAGTATGGGGGCTGTGGCTTAACAATACAATGCAAGCAGTGGTGGGATTCAAATTTTTTTACTACCAGTGACTTGATGGGCATGGCAAGGGAAGGATACTGTAAAATCTCCATTCCCTCCCCACTCCTGGGGAAAGGTTACTGCAAAATAAGCATAACTGTATAAGTATAATAAATATAAGTTTTACTAATCTGGATACCTGCATAACTGGATAGAAGCATTCCTGTCAAACAGGCAACAAATGGTCAAAATTGGGAGCGCCCTATCAAATCCTGTACCTGTCAACAGTGGTGTCCCCCAAGGCAGAGTTCTAGGACCAACTCTGCATACTCTATATTAATGATTATATTAAGAGCAACTGCGTTCTGTTCGCTGACAATGTAAAGCTATTCAACACCACTGACAATGCTGCTACCCTTCAAAAAGACCTCGACTATGTGTCAGAATGGTCAAACAAATGGCAACATCAAATCTCAACAAATAAATGCTCTATCTTACATGTTGGCAAAAAAATCAAAAAATAAAATACAAGCTGAATAGTAAAGACATTGTTGATGACAAAAACTTTGTCAAGGACCTTGGAGTACTCATCTCAAATGATCTAAGTGCTAGAGCCCACTGTAACTACATAGTCAAAAAGACATTAAGAGTTGTTAACCTAATCCTGCATAGCTTTTTCTCCGATAATATCACTACTAACTAGAGCATATAAAACATTTGCTAGACCAATACTTGAATACAGCTCATCAGTCTGGAACCCGCATTACTGATCTTTTTTTTAAAAAAATTTTTTAATTGGCTTTTAAAAACAAACATAAACAAACAAAACATAAAAACATCAAGCTATCTTCCATATGTGTACATACAGTGTGCCGGTTGGTTTACGAATTATTTTTGTGCTTCCATTTCGTAGTCTTCAATTACAATTACATTGCATATAGTCTCATATTTTCAATCAAAAAATAAATACCTTAGTATCATTATTAATCATTTGACTATACTTTTATTCATTCATGTTTTACAAGATAATCATAATTACTTAGTTTATTTTATAACAGTTCATATTATCATCCCAAATCTATCCTAAAATCATTTGGTAGATATAATAAGAAAGAAGTACATCTTTATATATTTATTATTTTCTAAAAGTCTACATATTTCATTACTGTATTTTATTTTCTAACCGTTGATAGAAAAGATCCCAAATTTTATAAAATTGTTTATCCTCTTGTTTTCTAATTTCAAAAGTCAATCTACTCATTTCAGCACATTCCAATATTTTCTTAATGATTTCCTCCTGTGATGGTATTTTCTCATTTTTCCAGTTTTTAGCAAATACAATCCTAGCCGCTGTTAATACATTTACAATGAGGTATTTCAAGTCTTTGCTATATATTTCAGGTAAAATTCCCAATAAAAATATCTCTGGTTTCAAGTCTATATGTTTTTTTTGTCATTTTTTCCAACCACATGTGGATTTTAGTCCAGTATTTTTTAGCATCCGCACAAGTCCACCACATATGGTAATATGAGCCAGGTGTCTGATGACATTTCCAACATTTTTCGGATTTATTCTTGAACATTCTTGCTATTCTTGTCGGGGGGAAATGCCACCTGTAAAACATCTTATACAAATTTTCTTTATATGCTGTTGACATTGTCATTTTATAATTTTGAGACCACAATTTTTGCCATTTCTCTAAATTGATCCCATATCCAAAATTCTTCCCCCAAGCAATCATAGTTTCTTTGACTTGTTCTTCTTCTAATTTAATTTCTAATAAATATCCATACAGTTTTTTAATCACCTTTTCATCAGTACCTGTCAAAATCTTATCTAAATCAGTCAATTTATCATAGAAACCTTCCATTTTAGAATCTTTATCATACCTTGAATGTATTTGCGCATATGAAAACCAATTCATCTTTATACCTTGTTTCTCTAGTTTTTGTATAGATTTGAGTTCACCCTTTTCATTCATTATTTCACCATATCTAACTTTGTTCCTTTTTGTATATTATAGGATAAGAAAATGCTTCAATAGTCGATAACCAGACTGGAATCTTCAAATAACATTGTCTTTTAATCTTCTCCCAGTTTAACCATAGAGACTCCCGTATATAATGTCTTCTAAAATACCCCTGTGTTTTAGTTCCTTTATACCATAAAAAAGCATGCCACCCCAACAACAAATCATGTCCTTCTAATGTCAACAATCTAGTATTTCTTAGTGTTATCCATTCCTTAACCCACATCAGATTTGTAGCTTGATAGTACAACTCCCAATTATCTGATCTTAATACAACTGAGAAAGTCCAGAAATATTTTACGAGAAGAATCCTCCACTCCTCTACTCGTAGCAGAATACCGTATGCCACCAGACTTGAAATTTTAGACCTAGACAACTTAGAACTATACCACCTTCGGTTCGATCTAAGTGTAGTATATAAAATTATATATTGCAATGTCCAACCTATCAATGAATACTTCAGCTTCAACCAAAACAATACAAGAGCACTAAATAGATAGAAACTAAAGATAAACTGCACCAAACTTGATTGCAGGAAATACGACTTCAGCAACAGAGTAGTCAATGTCTGGAGTACTCTTCCTGACTCTCTGGTTTCTTCCCCAAACCCCAAAATCTTCAACATTAGACTGTCTACTATTGACCTCACCCCTTTCCTAAGAGGTCTGTAGGGGGCGTGCATAAGCGCACCAAAACGTGCCTACCATCCCTGTCCTATTGTTTCTTTTTTTTCTTATTCGTATCCATTTCATATATTTATAACCATGTTTATACTTATACCTGTTATCTAATAATTGTTTGACAAAATAAACAAACAAATAAATAAATAAAATCTCATTCCCTCCGTACCCCACTAACCTGCTTTCCAGCTCTGTTCTCCTATGCAGGGTAACAAAAGAAGGGACTCAGCAGGCAGAGAATAGATGGGGATGGGGCCAGTGAGAGGTGGTATTTGCCGGTTCTCCGAACTACTCAAAATTTCCATTACCGGTTCTCCAGAACTGGTCAGAACCTGTTGAATACCACCTTTGAATGCAAGCATGAGATCTTTCAAGGGACAGCAGAATGAAAAATTCTGCTTTCCCCTAGGAGTTGGCTCTATTCATATAAATACAAATTAAACTTTTTTGTTTGTTCTTTTTTTTTTTTTGACCCAGGCTTCTAATTGGAATCCTGATGGTTCCTTTGTATCGGTACCTGGGATTGGCTCTTCCCCAGTTAAGCAGGGCAACAAATATACGTACTTTCAGGTATTTATTTCATTATATTTATACCCTGTCTTTTCTCCAAAAGTATCCATGACAATTTATATTGTCGTTTTATTCTTGTCATTATCCTGTGAAACAGATTGGATTGAGAAAAAGGTGATTGTGGTTAGGAGGAGACTGGAAGGTGTCCCCTTTTACAGACTCTTCTCCAGGGATTTAACCCTGTACAGGTAGTCCTTGACTTAAAACAATTCATTTAGTGGCTGTCTAAAGTTACAACGGCACTGAAAAAAGTGAGTAATTATTGTTTTTTAGACTTACAACTTTTGCAGCATCCCCGTGGTCACATGATCAAAATTCAGGTGCTTGGCAACTGGCATGTATTTATGCAGTGTCCCGAGGTCATGTGATCAACTTTTGCGGCCTTCTGACAAGCAAAGTTAATGAAGAAGCCAGATTCAAAACCGTGTTACTAACTTAACAACTGCAGAGATTCACTTAACAACTGTGGCAAGAAAAAACGTAAAATGGGACAAAATTTCCTTAACAGCTACTGATATCTTGCTTAGCTACAGACATTTTGGGCTCAATAGGGTTCATAAGTCGAGGACAACCTGTATCCAGGAGCTTGCTTAAAGCAGAAGCTTTCAGGCTGACTTCTTAACTGCCCAACTTCCTCACAGAACACCCTTGCTTTTTGAAGGTACTTGAATCTCTTTAATCAATGATCTGATGCATACAGTCAGCTTTATGTTCCAAAAGACTCATTAGATTTGGATAGGTAGAGGTATGTGCCCTTCCCCCTTTATCATTATATTCCTGCTCTACAACTGTGCGGGAAATATTTCTGCAAAATACTTGATGTTCAAGAGGGAACAAAGACCCTTGACATTTGTGATTCATCCATTGTGTAATGAATAATTGGTTGAGCCAGGGAAACCCTGAGAGAAAGGCTGGCTGTTCCTCAATTTTTGGAGTGATCCTTGAAAACTAAAGCCTTGAAGCCACCTACTTACCAGTGAGCATTTTGAAAGATGCAGTTCATAGCAAACATATTTTTAGAACCAATAAGTCTCCTAGAGTATTCTTCTGAGTGAAAATATAAAAAAGATTTGGTTCTGTTTTGTGTGGCTGCATATTACTACTTCGTCTATTTGCCATCTCCGTATTCAGAGCCAGATCCAGAACACCAGAACGTTCCATGCTGCTTGTGGTCTCGCATCACCCTAACTTACCTTTTGTTTGATTTTTGGCTTGGTGGGAACTGTGAATTCAAGAGTTACAGTTTGTCAAACAAGTTGTATAACCTTAGTATGAATCTGGCTACTAGGGGTTGCTCAACAAACTGTGACCAAAACAGGTTATACAGTATACCATTATGAGATGAGAAACTCAGCATTGACCCATTGAGCTGAACCTGGCTTCCCCAGATTGTGATTTCTAGACTATCTAGCCATCATGGTGCTTGGCTGAAAAAAGTTTAATGCGGATAGAAATTGAGACTTCCAGGGAATCTTGCTGTAATAGGGAGAAGACACATCAGGGGTGTCAAACTCACGGCCCACAGGCCAGATCCGTCACACACTGGCCATGCCCATCCCCGTTTTAGCGAAGGGGAACAAAGTCGTGATATATCATGTGATGCCGTGAGTTTGACACCCTTGAGCCACACCATCCCAGAGAAATGACTCAGCTGCTTTGAGGAATTGCTGATTGGGGCTTCATTGATGCTCCTGTCTGTTTGGAAATAGCTGCTGCCCTTTGAATCCAAAGAGCTGCCCTTCATACCCAGAGCTACATTAAAGATTCCTCGTATAGCAATCACTTCAAGAGAAAAACAGAATGAATATACTTAAAACAGCAAGTAATTACTCTAAAGTTTATTGGGATTGAAGTGTGTGTCTTGCATAGCTAGAGTTCTAGTGACTTAACTTTATGAAGGAAGTGGACCCTACATAAATTGATTTTAAAAACCAGACCCTTGTTCTGTTAAAACTCAAAAAATACGTGCAACACTTTTTAAATTATGGGTACAAGTATTTTTTAAAACGAGTCAATAAGTCTCACAGTTTGCCTTTTCTCATTATAAAAGTACAAAGCTGTATTGACTATATGGTAAGTGTATTGCCTATTTAGAAGTTAAGTCCCATTGCTTTTAAGTGGGGGTACTGCATGCTAAGTGTTGGTAGGATTACAACTTGATTCTGTTGGCCAGATACCCTTTATGTAACTCTCTAATGCTAGCAAAAGGGGATGGAGGTGGGGTAGCAGAATATAAGACAGAACATAAGCCTGCCAGATAAATATTTAATCAGTGTTAGGTTTCTGTGTGAGAATCAAGCTTCATAATGGAATGGATGCTTTCTTTCTCCATCTCTCATTCTCCATAAATAGGTGAAGGTAGTCCTTGATTTTGCAAGCACAATTGAGCCCAACATTTCTGTTGCTAAATGAAACATTTGTTAAGGGAATTTTGCTCCTTTTTACAATCCTTTCTTGCCACCGTTGTAAAGTGAATCACTGCAGTTACTAAGTTAGTAAGTGTTGCTAAGTGAATCTGGCTTCCCCATTGACTTTGCTTATCAGAAGATCGCAAAAGGGGATCATGTGACCCTGGGACGCAGCAAGTGTCATAAATATGAGTCAGTTGCCAAGCATCTGAATTTTGATCACGTGATCATGGGGACGCTAGAACGGTTGTAAGTGTGAAAAATGGTCCTTGGTCACTTTTTTCACTGCTGTTGTAACTTTGAATGGTCACTAAATGAACTATTGTAATTTGAGGATTGCCAGTATATGCACTGTTAAAATGGCAGTATGTTTCTTTAATCTTTTTATATGTTTCAGTCCTCTTTTGTCTATATTGCTGGTTTTAACTTTCTGGCACAATATTGTTTTTATTGTGAAGGAGATTACCATAATTTTAGTTTAGTTTAGTTTATTGTCGTTGCACCTCGTACAACGAAATCAAACACCATCCTCAGTGCACATCATGACCATGGCCAGGACAAATAAAGACAAACACACATCCTTCACCCTCCACACATTGAACCAAAAACCCCTGACACCACACAATACTGCAGTATACAGCAGAATTCAAAAGAGCTACTGCCCTGGCGTAGAAGCTGTTTTTCAGCCTATTTGTCCTTGTTAATGCAAGTTTCCCAACTTTTTGCCCTCCAAATATAACTCCCAGATTCCCCCAAACATATGGCCAGCATTTGGAGTGCGCAAGGTTGGAGAGAAAAGAGAATCCTGTACTTGAAATGGATCCTGAAGTGACCTTGGCTTACTTAACGTCCCCGGGAGATCTATTGAGACTTCTCTCTCTTCTTTTATCAGCCTCAGCAATGTGTGCAGTTATATCCAGAAATTGACTCGTGTGCGAGTGGTTGATAACAGCGCCTTGGGGAACACACCGTATCACCGGCCTCCAAAATGTATCCACGTCTACACCAAAAACGGAGTGGGCAAAGTGGGTGATCGAATTCTTCTGGCTATTAAAGGGGAAAAGAAAAAGGCGTTAATTGTCGGGTGCAAGTTTCCCGGGCCTTGCATGACTCCTCGGTTTGATTCTAACAACGTGGTGCTCATCGAAGATAATGGGAATCCAGTTGGGACACGGATCAAAACACCTATACCTTCTCTGCTGAGGAAAAAAAAAGAATTCTCCAAAGTGTTGGCCATTGCCACAGACTTTGTGTGACTTCCCTGGGAGGGCATCGCATGACAAAGAAGGGGATGTTGTGGGAGTGTCCCCTGAGTTGCATTTCTCTTTTCATTCCCAGAATTGAGGAAGAAGTATTTGAAAAAAAGTAGGAAGAGGATGGCAGGGAGTGCTAAGACATCTTTGGGGGAAATACACTTTCCATTATTTTGGGTAACAATTGCTCTTCTGAACTAATTTAATTAAAGGCAGAGTGTTAAATAACTGTTTTGTATGATTTATGGTTTTGAAAGAGGTGGAAAAGGAGAAAGCAAAGGCTGGGAGTGTCAAAGATTTGACCATCGTCTGTTCTTTTCTATAGATCTCCAGTTATTTTTGTGAGTTATTTCTTCCCCAGTTTTATTCTTAAAACATCCTGTGCATTGTTCAGATTCCAGCCAGCAATAACTTTAAAAGTAAATTCCAGCATGGTTTTATGCAATGGATAAAGGCAAATAAAAAGGAAATGGCAAATAAAGAATGTCATAAATAACATTACTATTCCCGCTTCTCTCCCTTTTTCACTTTCTTAAACAATACCTTACTTTATTCTTACAACGAGGTTCCCCACTCTGTTATTTTTATTCTGTCACGTTTTCATTTTTTCTTTCGCATTTTGATAATTTATCTTTCCTCATTGTTTACAGATGCTTTCTGCACACTGAATTAAACCCAGTAGTTTGGGATTTCACTAACCAATGTGAAGGACACAGGTCACCCTGTTAATCAATAGGTTAAACATCATTCAGAGTTGATAATAATGTAGGTTTAATTTATGTGTAAGTTCTATATCTTATCTGCGAGCTAGTATCCTCCTCCCATTTCCTCACAACTTTTGTGTGAGGTAGGTTGGCCGAGAGTCAGGGAGTGACTCAAAGTCTCCCAGTGAATTGCTATGGCTGAGGGAGTCCTGAAGTTGGTTCTCCTAGAGCACGGGTGTCAAATTCACGGCATCACTCACGTGACATTTTGCAACACTTTACCCATTCATTGAGCTGGAGTGGGTGTGGCCTGCCTGTGACGCATTCAGCCTGCGAGCCCCCAATTTAACACCCCTGTCCTAGAGTCTAGTGCAGCACCTACATCATACTCTCATTTAATTTAAATAAATAGTGTTAGAAAGAAAGAGTATGTGCATTGCATGCTTGCTTCCCCCAAACTAATGCTCTACAGATATATTGTGCTCACACCCTGTGCTGGTTCTGGATGATGAAAATTGCAATCCACTGGAGGCATGGATTGCAGAATGCTTCTGAAATGGTTTTTCAGAATTAAATCCTGATACCATGCCCATCTTTCCAGCCTTCATAAATTATGAGCCCTTAGGATATTCAGGTTACTCATGTACCATCGGGAGGTTTCCAATTGCTCAGTCCTTTGTTTTTTCTTTTCTTTTTATCTGCAATCTATGCCATATAAACCCTGATTTTGTATTGGTAGCTGAATAAATTAGGGGCACCAAATATAAATTATGCAAATCTCATGAGTGGAATTGTGGCCTTTATGTTATTGATGAATAGCTTTTGACCTTCTGAGAGTTACTGCTATGCAAAGCCTTTTATCACTGGCATTCTGTTTTACTTCGACACAGAAAATAAAGTCTAACCAGAATAATCATGGCAAAACTCTGGATTTCCACAACATGGAAGTATAAATCTTTGGTTGTATCCCCACAGGGATAGGTAGTTCCTCCAAAGGATTTTAGATGTAAGGACTGATATGGTAGAAAAAAAATGTAAGATTGTAGAAAAATTGTAGGAGATTCAATATTTAGTATTTTAAAAGCAGAGTTAGCATGTAAAGAACAAGAGTGAAAATCCTTAGTTGGTTTATTCCAGGGGTGGCTGAGGAATTCTGGGAGTTGAAGTCCACAAGTCTTAAAGTTGCCAAGGTTGCACACTCCTGGTTTATTCTGTGGGGAGGATGGAAGATTTTTTTTTTTCTCATTGTGCCATCTTGTGGTGATTCATGTCTATGTGCTTCTGGCTTGATTTCAAGAATTTTGTTTGTTGAGAAAAACTTTCAGCATTGAATATATGTAAAATGCTTTTGTTCTCTTCTGTTAACAAGGCACTTAAACAAGCAGTTGTGTTAAAGGAACGAAGACAAAAACCACTGAATTCCCTCTTTTTTATCTTTATTTAAAAATTTTATTTATAAAATTATATAAAATCTATATACTGTATATAAAAACGTGAAATACTATTCACGCATCGTCACAAAATCTCCAGAACCGTAAAGCCTACAAACTTGAAATTTGGCACGTTATGTTCCTCTTGGCTTCTAGGTGCTCACTAAGGAAGGATTTTTCAAAATGACCATCAGAACATTAGTATTTCATATATTTTTATTAACATGCTCTGATGCTGAGGAGTTCTACTCCCCCTGAAAAGAAATCTCTTCCAAATGCAAAACACAAGCAGAGGAGAGGAGTTTCAGTTTCAGGGCAGCAACCAGCTTTAGTACAGAACAGTTGAGCTAAGCCATGGCCAGGCTCCTTGCTGTCTCCTTGCTCACACAGCAAATACTGTTTCACTTTCCAAACAAGCCCTCAACTCTCTCACACTGACTGGATGCTAGCCAGATGAATACCGATGGATGCTGGCAGGCAGAGGCACAATCCCCCCACCTTATTTTCCTCCCCAAAAACTAATCCCAATCACATAGTTTCATAGCAAAGCACGGGTATAAAGCTAGTTTATTTAGAAAATTTATTAGCCACTGATTTTACCATCTGATAACCAGGTGACTTACAGTCATAAAAATATATCTATACATGTACAGTTAAAACAAAAATAATTAAAATCAAGATTAAAACCTAAGGACACATGGGAAGGTGCAGGAAGAGTGAGGGGATGTGGGATCTTGTTACTTGATCAACCACTTCCACTGCTGTTTTCCCCATTGGTCCCCAAGCCAGCTAGCAGAGCCAGGTCTTTAGGCCTTGATGAAAAGAGAGGAGGGTTGGGGCCAATTTCACATCAATGCAGCAAGATGTTCCGGAGGGCAGGAACAACAGCAGAGAATGCCCTCATCCTGGATCCCACCAGCTGGAATAATGCTAACAGGACATGCAGCATGCCTCCCCTGCTGGCGTGAGTGGGGTAGGCCAATCCCAGTGAGACGGTCCTGAACCCATGCCATGAATGGCTTTACAGGTGATTGCCAACACCTTGAATTGTATCTGGAAGCAGACTGGTGACCAATGCAGCTTGCTGAGCAATGGTGTTACTGGGGCCATTTTAGGGCCCCCAAAACTGCCCACACCACCACACTCTGCACCAGTTGGTGATCAAATAAGTACTATTGCGGATGACCCCTTTATTTGCTCCAGTAAAGTGGTCTCTTCAAGTTGGTTGCAAAGACTGACATGGTTCTCTGGAATTAATATACATCTTACACACATCTTAATTCATATTGTAAAGAAATAAAGAGTAGACCCTGGGCAAGGCATGAATGAAGAAGGATTTATGAAAGATATTGCACAGTCCAGAGACTGAAGGAAGCGTGAGAAAGAATTCATCATAACTCCTTGGAGGTACAAAGCTAAACTTGGACGGGCTTTTAAAATATGTTATTACACCCCACAACAATAGCATTCCTGGAATTCCTGCGGTGTCTGTTTTTTGACCAGCTCTTTTGATCTTGAAACACCATGTATGTTTGTTGTTACTCTTACTAGTACTCTTACCAGTTACAAGCTGTATGTATTGCATAAAAAGTTTGAACAACTGTTGAAATTATACTACAGGATGACTTAAAGAAAAACTAGGGCATGTGCTATAAACTGCAATACAATAGCAGTGGAGAAGTCTCCCCCCCCCGCTCCCCCTGGCTTAATTGTTGCAGTTTTAGTAACTACTGGATATCCTGATTCTTCTCAATGAATTCTATAATTCTGATTTAGGATGCAGCCTTCATATTCAAGCTTTGGCAAGTTCCTTTTCTGCTGATTTAGAGCAGAATTTAATCTATGCTAGCACAAATACTTGTGTACCTCTAAACTGAACCTTTTTTAGTTGCATCCATCAAAAGTTTCTGAATTCAGCTGCCCTTTAAAAAGGCCCATGGCACCAGTAACCCCAGATGAAGGTGGGAGTTGCTCACCCTGTAGCTTGAAAGTCAATTCTACTGAATTTGGCAACACTTCTTGAAAAGATATACGTAGGATTTTACCGTTCGACTTATTTTTTTGAACAAGTTCCAATTTAATTTAGGGACAGCACAACATTTTGTGTCTAGGAACGCATTAAGGCTACTGCTGCAAAGGTCAATGACTTTGTTACCAAGGACTCCTGATGAAGGACTCCCTGAAGGTTTCTTGACAATATTGAGCACGTGGCTTGTCATTACCTTGTTTGGGGATTATGTTCTTAGTTTCTGTGAGTCCAGCCAACATTCCCAGAACATTTCTCATCATTTGACTAGAGATGAACTTGCTTAGCTTCTGAGATCGGCCATGGATGACTCACTGGCTCCACTTGCTTGGACATACCATCATGTGCATCTGTGCTTATTCATAAGGGATTTGACTTTTTGTTCCCTTCCTGTTTTAAAAGGTACGTAAAAATAATAATACAGACTTGTCATAAAATAGCATGGTTACATATGATTTTTCCATTTTTCTGAATGTTAGGTCTTTGAAAACACTTTCCCGTCAATAAACTCTATTCAAGTCAATAAACTTTACTTCAGAGGAAACAGATCTGGATTGCATTGTGATTCTCTGTATTATGAACATGGAACTCCACATAATGTACAGAATAAGGAACCACAGATTCCTATGGTAGGAAAATTCATGGAATGAAGTTCAACCCATCGAGGCGGTCTTTGGCTTACAGCCATTTGTTCAATAACAGTTTGAAGTTACGATGGCACTGAAAAAAAAAATGACTTATGAGCCGTCCTTGAAGTTATGACCATTGCATCATCATCCCCGTAATCGTAATTCAGGCACGTGGCAAGTAGCTGGCAGTTTCGATGGTTGCACCATTCTACATGATTTGTGTCCTTTCCAGCTGCTTAATTCCCATAGGGAGAATGGTCATAAAATGGGGAGCAGCAATGTGATGCCTCACTTAATAACCGTGCTGCTTAATGATGAATGTTCTTTTCCCACTTGTGGTTGAGGATTACCTGTACCAGTGGTGGGATTCAATTTTTTTTTTTACTACCAGTTCTGTGGGTGTGGCTTGGTGGACGTGACTAGGTGGGCATGGCCATATGACTGGGTGGGTGTGGCCTTTTTTTGCAGCCCCCCCCCATTTTGGGGACCTTCTGAGCCTCAGAGGAGCCTCTAGGAGGACATTTTTGTTCCCAGAAAGCTCCTCTGGGGGCTCAGGAAGGCAAAAATGGAGGGGGGGGGCTGAGCCCCTCCCTCCATTTTTTTACCTTCCTGGGCCTCAGCAAGGAGAATCTCGGCGCAGCTGATCGTATGAACAGCTGATTGTTGGAAGGGAAAAAAAGAAATACCTTAAGGGCCAAGCGTCAGGTGAGCGGGGTGAGTGAGCATCGGGCAGGTGGGGCAAGCAAGCCAGAGGTGACCGGGCAACAGGGTCGGGGGCACGGCCAGCCAGAACTTATTACTGGTTTGGCGACCCATGCCAAATCCTTGCTACCGGTTTGCCCGGTCTAGTGCGAACCAGCTGAATACCACCACTGATCTGTACTCACTGAGATAAATTTCACAGATTGTTTATTATCTTTTGCAATCGGTATACAGCAGAGGTGGTATTTAGCAGGTTCTGACCAGTTCTAGAGAACCGGTAGCAGAAATTTTGAGTAGTTCAGAGAACCGGCAAATACCACCTCAGACTGGCCCACCCCCATCTATTCTCTGCCTCTTAAGTCCCAGCTGATTGGCTGGGTCTTCTTTTGTTCCCTGCACAGGAGAACAGAGCTGGAAAGCAGGTTAGTGGGGTGGGGAGGGAATGGGGATTTTGCAGTAACCTTCCCCTGCCACACCCACCGTGCCTACCAAGCCATGCCACACCCAACAAGCCATGCCCACAGAACCAGTAGTAAAAAAAATTGAATCCCACCACTGGTATGCATAGTCCTCAACTTACAGCAGTTCATTTAGTGACTGTTCAAAGTTACAACATACTGAAAAATGTGACATGACTTTTTTTTCCACAGTATGACCTCTGCAGTATCCTCATGACCATGGGATCAAAATTCAGAGGCTTGGCAACTGGCTCATATTTAAGACCATTGCTGTGTCCCAGGGTCCCGTGTTAATAATTTAACAAGTGTAGTGATTCACTTAACAAATGTGGCAAGAAAAGTCATAAAATGGGGCAAAAGTCACTTAACAAATTTCTCAGCAACATAAATGTTGGGCTCAATTGTGGTAATAAGTTGGGGACTACCTGTATATATTGAGTGTGTCAGTACACAGCATCTTCTTGTAGGTGAGATGTAGTTCACAGTACTGTATAATGGCTTGCAAGACAATCTTTTCTGTATCGTAAAGATTCCAACCTGCATAAAATTGCAATAATTTTGCAAATTTGAAATGCAGTAAATAATAAAAAGTTAATTCACAAATGAAATAATATATAAGTTGTGTGTCTATGAAACTAAGACAAAGGGGAAAGATGTAACATATTTGAATAGTGACATGATCTTGCGCAGTGGAACTGATATCCTTAGGGAAATGAAGGTGCAATTTTATTTTGAAGGAAAGAGGTAATTTGTATCAGAAAGTTCTAATATGTTCTGAAAGTAGAAATCCATAGCTTGAAGATAGCGACTTGTTACATTCCAATGAATGATGATAATCACAGTGACCATATTTTCTTGGGGGGAAAAATAAAGGGCAAGGCTAAAAAAGAGGAAAATCTGAAAGAATTTCATAATGATAAAAAAAAAACAGCTCTTTAAGGTTTATATCTTTACAAAGGAAAATGTAAGAGCAAATCCAAGAAAGTAAGTAACTAATCCAAGGGACAGCTTTCTGAAATAAAAGACTGTCCTTTATGGTTATTTTAGCTGTATATTGCCCAAAGTCTCTCTGTGAGTGAGAAGGATAGTATCTGAATTTGACAAATAAATAAAAAAGAT